ACAGTGCAACCCCGCGAAGATAACAAAAACAACAAAGACTTTTGAAACGAAAAAATTGAGGTTGAGGGCCAACATTTTAAAACGACAAGTTCTACTCTTGAGGTGGAGAACTCACTTTATTGTGCTGAAGCGTAGCATTTTTTGTGCAGAGACGGAGTCCGCTCGATCGTTTCTATGGCCAACCGCAGCCTTTTCCCGATGTTTGCTGCTGTGAACGAACTGTCAGGGTGGAGGGCTGAGTGTGTTTCCACAAGGGTTGCTACGATTGCTGGCAAGTTCTAGTTAAAAAGTGAGGTCAGAGGAGGAAGTCATGGCAAAAAGGTCGCAGCCTGCTTCTGGTGCTGCTTTCAAGGCAAGACAGTGCATTTGAAACCGCTGCTAGGTGTACTTGATTGTTGAGTGTAAGAATGGCAGGTTCGAAGTGTGCGGAAGACCTGCGCAAAAACCACACGGGGATCCAATTTGGAGAAGCGCGCAACAGTAACAGTTTCAAGTTGCGCGAAGAAACCCTTGCCAGCTGTTGCTTCTTGCTTTGATGGGAAGACTTTGACCGTGTGGGATGCGCGACTGGCAACAGCGCCGCCTTTGGAGCTGCACATCACCGCCTTGTGCCCAGTTTTGCTGCGATGTTATATCTCAAGAGTTCCAGCGCCGTTTTTGAGGTCCGAAAGCCTCGGAAGGCAGCTGAGTCCAAATCCAATGGAGCAAAGTTGTTTCATGGAAAGAAGACATTTTCCACTTGGAGCTCCATCAGTAGGGGCCTTGTTTACAGATGTTTAGGTTGTGGCAAATAGCGTCCGTGTTTTGCTGAGGATGCTTTTCAGGCACAACCACTGCCGCTGAGAAGGAACCCTCGGTCCGTGCCATCTCAGTAGCGGGCTCATCAAACATGTTTGGTGTTCGTTGGCCATGCTTTTTTCTGACTCAGGATTTGGGAAACCAAATCAGATGGTCCAAGCAGTACCAGCAAGAGATGGTTCAGCATAACCTCAAACCTGGAAAGTATGTGAGCCCAGAGGCGGCTGAGTGGTTTTCAGGCTGGTGTGTTTTTTCCAAGTAAAACTTTCGCTTTTCGTTTTGCACTTGGCAGGACTTCCCCGCAACTGGACCAAGCCGGTCCCCAGATGCGTTGACCGGAGCATCTTCAAACAGATGTTCCCCTATGCTGCTGGCACCGTTCTCCTGGCTTGCATTCACTTGAGCTAGGAGTCTGTCAAAAGTTTATTTTTGACAGGATGGCAAAGCCGCTGTCATCAGCATGTTCAGTGGCATTGGCGGCTTGGACCTCGCCATGAGCCAGTCGTCTCCTCAAAGTGCACTGCAGTGGTTTGCAGTGAAAACAAACTGATGGTTCAATGGAAGTCATTCGTGGGTGGTGGCTCCGAGTCAGCAACTGAGACAATAGCAAAACAACGGCAAAACGCATAACAATAATGTATAACATCGCATAACACTCTTTTTCTAGCAGCTAGATGTGGCACGGTTTTGTGGGTGTGGTTGACACGACCAATGGTTGGTTTGCCAAGAGCTGCGCCGACTTCCGAAGCAGCAAGTCCCTCGTGGGCACACGTGCGATGTGTTGGGATCAACCAGATCAGGCTGGGACCTTTTGCCAATGAGCTAAAACAGATTCTGACATCATCATTAAACCAGGATTCCTACAGGGACACCAGTCTTTGCCAATTGGCGCGGCCAGCAGTTGGGAGCCCAGGAGTATACCGCACGCGAAAAGTGTTGTACGCAATATGTTTTTTGCAAGCGAGGTGGTTTTGGTCGTGGGAGGGCCGTTGCTGGCTTACAGTGGGCAGCGTGCAGAATGAAATGGTGGCCCCAAAGTCAACTGCAGCCGCTCCTGGCATTGATCGAGTTTCCAGGTTCAATTTTGATGTGTCCTTTTGCTCCCCCATGAAACAACAAATGTGTTGAGTTGTTGTTTTGAGGCTCCGATGACCCATGCAGATGGCAGTTGCAAGAGACCGCGCAATGACCGCTAGGTGGTAAAAACAATGAACGTTTCACTTGAGAGATGAGGCTTGCGCTCAACTTTCCCAGCCTCTCTACCCTTGGTTGTGACTTGTTTCCTCGATTGTTGGGTGGCCGAGGTGGTGTTACCCAACGGCATATGCCGCGGGCTGAGCATCAGGTCAACGGCTAGCTTCAGCTTGGAGTTTCGTTCTCAATGTGTTGTTGTGGTAGCACTTTTCATGTGAGCTTTCACCCAGTTGAACCCACCAAGATGCTGGTTAAAGCCATCGTTTTGAGGTGGAGCGTGATGAATTTTGCAGATCGGTTCTGACATTGCGGATGGAAGACAAGTTGCTGCACCCTGCCACTGTGTGGCCAGACGTGACGACGTTTGAGGGGAAGAATTGCCCCAACGCAGTTGGAGTTGGAGGAGGGTTCCCTTGCCAGGCCCGGGTGAAAGGGGCAAAGAGTTGAAATTGCAGGAGTAATATGGAGTAATAGTGATTGATTTGCAATTCATTTCGCATTCTTTTTTGGCAGGGAGTCAGTGGCGCAGGAATGCAGAAAGGACTTTTTGATTGCAGAACCGCTCTTGTATCACACATCTTCCGGGTGTACGATACTGTGCCCTCACCGTTCTTCAAGCAGCAGTCAGTAGTTTGTATGCTTTGAATGAGTCTGCAATGTGCGGAAGTGTAGCCCGCAAAGCCCAAGGCAATTTTTGTTCATGGAAAACGTAAAAGCAATCCTGGAGCACGACAAGGAAGCGAATATGCGCGCTTTGATGCAGTATATCATCCAGGTTCCAGTGCGTTGACGCTTTCAAGTTCCCAACGCGGTGGAAGCGAGTCCCATTGAACCACTGTTTTGAGTTTTGGTCGCCGCAGGAGTGTTCCAAGCGGTCACTAGTTCTTCACTGGACGACAACGATGTTGAAGCACGTTGGACTTCCAGCACAGACCTTAGTCTCACTGCGCTAGGTTCACATGTGAGTGATTTTTAAAACACGCTCTCGCCAGGCCCGCCGTTCTCGCGTGTTCTTCTTGGCGCACAAGCCTGGACGCAACCTTTGGGAGGACAGCTGTGTCCTGATGCAGATCACCGCTCAATTGCAAGTCTTGCAGGACATTGAGCTTCGCCCGCTCTCTTCTTTTTTCCAGGAGAAGTTCAACGCGTGGAACGCATTGCCTATGCGTTTGTGGTTGGTCAGGGAGTTGGATGAGCATTACCGCGCACGCATGAAATCGCTTGGCAATGTTGTGGTTCCAGCCACTGGTGATTTGGGTTGGAACTTACTTCATAGATTGCGGGCTTTGTCACAGTAGCAGGCAGTCAGTAGGTTTGGGAGATGGGCTGGGATGCTTCCTGTACTTTTTTTTTGTGTGTAGATTGAGACTGTGTGTGGTACGTTGATTACAGGAAGTCTCAAGCTTGCTGTGTAGAGATGCCCGGGTTTTCATCCAGGCCAGGAGCAATTCGTAATCTCACGCAAATGCAGATCTTGTCTTGGGGCAGCGACGAAAAGTTGTCAGAGCCCCGTCATGTGAATGGTGCTTCAGATTAACGTGCCAACTGTTTTTTTATAAAACAACAAAGAGACCAGGCCGCTCAATCCAAAAAGGCCGCTCAAGGTTCAAAACCGGAAGCACAGTTCCGCCAAGCTCGTGGTTCTCTGTCGACATGACTCCCCGCTCGCTCTCCGCCGCTTCTGATCCACCCCGTGCTGTTGACGCCAGAGGCCAGAGTTCCCAATTTTCACATGGTGTCCCACGGTCCGATTCATATTCAAACTCAAGTACCATCGGTTTTCCCTCGCCGAAATTGTAGGTTCCAAATTTGCGGACGAGTCCTCGGAGCAGGGTTTTTCGAGCAGCCCGACATTGGAGCCTCAGCCCACTGGTTCTTCTTTTCACGTCGTGAACGGCACTTCTTTGATGCAGGTAGCTGTCGTTTTTGAGTTTTACGCATAACGTCACGGGAAGTTGGAACCGTTCTTTGTGCATGGCAGGCAGTGGAGTCCAAGGGCCTTGTGGCACGCCCTGACACGGTGGTGTTGCGTTTTTGTACTTTCGAAGAAGGTGGGGCAACCAACCTCTAATATCATCGCAGGCAGCCAACTTAAAAGTCAAAAGGCAGTCGCAATTTGTAGACAGGAAAATAGTCCAAACCGTTTCGATTGTCAGGCTCGCTAGAATGCATCAGTGCCCGGCGTTGTTGCTACTTGCACGCTCGTGCTACAGAGCCGGCTCGGTGCGCGAGCTTCAGCTTACACTTGCACTCAGCTTTTTGGAATTAGGATGGTAGGAAGAACGGCTGACCAATCAAGCCAGCCTTTTGCCACCTGAGGATTCTTTTGCGCAACGCCATGTTGCTTCCTGACATCACCCTTGGTGATTCTTTTGAATCTGAGACAGATAAGGGTTCTGTATATTTTTGGAGCAGCAAGTTTCAGACATGTTGGCCCGACATTTGCTTGGTGCCAAGTGCAGAGCTTCGTGTTGACGAATGCCCGGAGCCTTCAGCAAGGGGAACGGCTATCTCAGGGATGCCAGTTGTTTTGTTGCCAGTGATGAAGTACATTGGTTTGCTGAAGGGTTTGAAGAACTTCGATTCTACCAGTAGCTTGAATCCGCAGTCTACGTTGTGTATTTGCATTTTGGATTTTGCAGACTAATCTGGGGATTCTGTTTGTGGTTCTTCGCCCAGGTATGTGGAGCGCATCAGCGACTGCGCAGGCAAGCCAGCTCATTCACCACATCAAATGAGTGAGCAGCGGCCTGAGATGCATCATCATAATTTTGTCACGCTCTGGTTTTGTCAAAGTTGCTGGTCCTAGTCGTTTCAGAGAACACGCAAGGATGTCCGTGTTGGAGAAAACAAGTTTGGTTGAAGGAAACGGGATGAAAGCATACCTGTACTGTTGCTTTGTGTATCAAGTAGTTTGAAGGGAAAACCGCTGCAAGTGCCCAGCCGCCTGACTACTTGAAGCTTTTTTCTCAAGAGCCCAACGCGTCATCAACCCAAAGATTTGAGGCATGCTGTCAATTGATGCGGCAATGCAGGTCCTGGCTCACGCTTTCCGACAGCGGCTTTTCTTGAACCCGCGGCCTGAGAAAATCCCAACCTATTGCCTCTACGTGACAACTATGTTGTCGCTTGTGCAAGCTTTCTTGGACACTGTGCCAATTGACTTTCCTTTGTTGCAGTGGTGGGTGCAGCAGGCCCAGAAGACGACTGCGCTTGCCATTGGACGCTACGCGTTGAAGCAAGACCCAGTTGAGTCCACGACAATTGTTCCCGTCCCTCAGTATACCATCCTGAGGTATCATGAGTTTGTGAAACAGCTTTTTGAGGAGCTGAAAAAACAACGTCCCCAAGGTTGCGCAGTGGGCCGTGTTTCAGACGGTGGATGAGGGCTTGAACTTGGATCGTGTCCTACACTCCATCATTTCCACGTGTCAGGAGTTTGACGCCGCTGAAGAAGTGCTGGTAGTGACAAGGGCCTTTGCTGTGTCCCTCACAGAGGAGATTGTCAGCTTGCAAATGAAAGAAGGGACTAATCTGACTGATTGCCCCTCACCTAGTAGCACGCAAACCGCTGCAAGCTAAGACTTTGGCAGCGACATCCCAATTCGATTTTGGTTCGATATGCGCATAGAGGTAAAACAGAAATGTGGATGGGCTCTAGATGTGCCAGCCTTTGTGTGTGAAGGAACCCTTCAGAAGTCGAAGGCAAAGTCAAACATGCCCTACAGTGTTTTTATTCCTGATCTCTGACCTTGCCGGCTCTTGTTCAAAACTTTGGAAAGCACACCTTTACAGTAACTTTGCAAACAGTGTGATATTTATAGCACGATGGGTTGAATGTTTTCTCTCAACCTGACCTTTCTCTCACTTTCCACATGCCTTTTCGTGTCAGTGTTCCTCTTAGCCGCGCGCTAAATGCATTTTGCCGATGTGTCGGCTTTGAGTGATGATGACGAGGTCGGTGCAGCGCCCACCGATGTGGTTGTTGCTGCGTCCATAGACAGGCCCCCGGGGGCCCAAACACTCCGCAAACGAAGACGGTCGCCCTTTGTCCAACACTCTCCAAAAGCGGTAGCGTCCGATGATGAGCTCGCCAAGAAGTTGAATCGAGATTGCTCGTGCAAGAGGAAGACATGTTACCGCCAGTTCCTCGAGAATGGGCACTTCCAGGAATACAAGACCTTTCTGCAGCAATGGCTAGAGCTGTCAAAAATTGATCAAGACAACATCGCTTCTTGACCTAGAATGTTTTGTAGGGCTGGACTGTTGTTCTGGCCACCCGGTGTTGAGGCCGTCTTGTTTTGCCATTGCCCTCCCTAGGCTTTCAACCGCTTGAAAGAATTGCGACTTGTATCTGGTGAAGATTTTTGTACTGGGTGGCAATTGCTTCGACTTGATACTTGCCGCAGAGCTTGGCGAGGTCTTCACAATTTGGGCACCTGGGTGTAAATTGGAAATTAACGTTTACATTTCCACTCAATTTAGCAAGTGGCACTGGGAAATTGCAGTGACCTTGAGAAAAGGCTCTCTCAAGTCCTTAGCGACCCCCCCCCTAAAGGACTTGAGGGTGCCTTTTTTGTGGTTGAGCATTTCTTGGAGTTTTTAGCTGGCTAGGCATCATTGCGTGTAGGTAAAAACCACAACGACGCTAGCTTGAAACAGCGAGCAGGTGGACGCAGATTTGAGAAGCTTTGGTCAAGTGTCCGTGATGGCCACCATGCGCCCCCAGTGGATCTGCGATACTTGAAAGGCCCTGCAGAGCGCGTCGGTTGTACTACCAATGCTCAGGTGCGAGGCGACATAGTGGCCTTTTTGGAGTCTCTGTATGAGAGCGTTGCCGAAACGTTACCAGACTTCCGCGACGAGCTGGGTGATGCTTCATCAGTGCAAATTTCAGTTACAGATCCATATTCACAAGAGCTCAGGAAGCAGCAAGCGGAAGTGGTCGATCCAGCCGTTTTGCCAGGGAAGAAGCCTCGCAAGAGCAAACGGCAAGTGGGCATCAATCAAGCCAGAACATCAGCTGAGATTGAAGAGAGGTGGCTGCCGCCCGGCACCATGAAAGAGTACTTCGACCAGTACGTTCTTCAATCTTCGCTGGAGAAGCCGGGAAGCTTTCCAACTTTTTGGCGAGTTCCTTGACGGGGTGTTGACAAACTTTGCTTAATGTTTTGTGCAGATTGCTTTTACAGAAAATTAAATCAGCCGCAGTCCCAATCTATCCTGCCCTTTTCACAGCGCGAGCAGGTTTGGCTGTCTGACTTTAGTTACTTGCAGATTCGCGCAAGCAGCCAACATGCGCAGTGCGCAACTTGCATTCGCCACCGGCGCATGATCAAATCGTTGGGACACCACCTTGCCGCGAGACAAGACCAGCAGCATCACTACTGGCGCCACCTTAGAGATCAATACGCAGATCGATTGGTGTATTACAAGAATCGCGGTTTGTCGAGACTGAAGAACGGTCGCTACGTCCTGATGATCCAGGACGGTATGGACCAGGGGAAAGTGGCGCTGCCACGTTCCCCCTGGATGAAGTCCAAGGAGTACGCAACATTTCAACGACCCAAACTGCACCTTAGCTTGACGCTTTGCCACGGCTATTTGATGCTGTGGTCGATCTCAAATCCTGACTGCAAAAAGGATTCAAATGCATCAATCGAAACCATTGCTTACACCTTACATTTGTTGGCGACACAGGAAGGGGTGTGTCTGCCTGAGTGCCACATTGGCATTCAGGCAGACAACACCCCGCGCGAGCTCAAGAACAACCCGAGCTTCCGCTTTATGGCGGCGCAAGTGAGCGCGTCCAACCTCAGGGCCTGCGCAATAACTTTTCTTCGTTGCGGACATTCCCACGAAGACGTGGACCAATGCTTCGGCCGTTTGGCACGTCACTACGCAAAGATCCAGTGTGCCCAAACACCACAAGATTTTGTGGCCTCGACTGTTGAGTTTTCTCGGAACATGAAGAGGCCCCATGAGACCAAGTCACATGTCATCAAGATGAACGATACACGTGATTGGAGCCAAGGCTTTGCTTAGAGCATTTTAGGGGTAATACATATTGAATACACTTGTATTTGTTCTCGTGCCAAAGCATGACCGATCAGGAAAGGGTGGCACAGTGGAACGGTGCCGTTTCAGCTCACCGGAATTGGCGGGCCTGGAGCACCGCATGAGTTTACATTTCGGAGACGTGACGACCCAGAATTGCAAGGTGTGCACATTGAAAACACCGCTTGGGGATATCAACTCCATCCCCACGATGTGATAGTACTGCTCCTAGAAATCTTAACTGGAAACTTTTGGGTGTTTGTTATGACGTGGGCCCCAGCCACATTGCTCCCTACAGGGTCCAAGATATTGCGAGAACTTAGTGGAGTTCTGGTTGAAATCATTTAGTTTCCAAGTTGCAATAGCAAGGACAAAGCGGTTCATGGCCAGCAAAGAGTATGACAAGGCAATTTTGGTATATCCGAGATTCCTTGCGCTGGAGAGGATGCCTTTGGGAATACCCACAGGCGGGATGGGAAATGAAAGAGAAGGTTGTTATTATTTTTTATTACGCAGAGTTTACAAGACAGTCAGTGGTCCCAGTCGGTTGTTTTGTTGTTGAGCCGCCTGTCCCTGCAGTGATTTCCGAGAAGCGTGATCTTGGCGAAGAATACAAGAACCACGTGGAGAAGTTTGCAGCGATGTTGGCAAACCCATTGTACGGATTGGAGGAGTCTGGGCGGTGGCTCCGAGATTGGATCCGCAACACGCTGCCAGTGGAACCTTTGCTCCCGGTTTCTGCGTCCTTTGGATTTAGTTCAGAGGGCTTTGAACATGTGTCTACCCTTGCTTGCTTGCACAGGGTGGCAGGGTGGAGGCAAAGTTCATAGTAACTACAAAATTAGAGCTTTTCCGTTTGCTGCAAGGGCCAAGCAACACTGTTTTGCTACGCGCCAACTCGAGCTTCAGGAGTATCATTTCTAGCGGCCCTCATCCGCGCGAGCTTGCAGACGGGTTGCCTCGAGCAGACCCTTTTGCGGTCGATCCCAACGTCGTCAAGCTCTTTGCCCTCCAAAAGCAAAACTTTTCAAGGTGGAGGGGGCTGTGACATGACGGCGTTACGTTCCCATTTGTTTTTGTCAATCAAGGTTGGTCAAGTCCACCGGACAGAAGGACGTGTCTGATTACGTTCGCAGAGCTAGAGTTTCTATCGCGTTCCAAGCTGCTGCAAGGGCATGGTCCTTTGGTGTCCCTTGGGGTGAAGCTTTGAAAGCCGCGACTGATGCCACGGCTGCTGCCCGTCGAGTTGTGCCGCCGCCAATCCGTGGTCGGAAAGGTGGTGGCAAGGGAAAAGGACACCTTCCTGCCAAAGGCAAGGGAAAGGGTAGAGGTAGGGGAAGTGGTTGACTTCCTTGGCAAACAACCATGCCTTTCACGCAGGACAAAGAATTCGCGGCGTGTTGGGTCTCCAAACCCGCAACCAAGAGTTTGGTTGCTGTTGTCTAGAGTCTAAAGTGTTCAGCAAATTTCGAGACTCTTATTTTTGCAATACTGTTGTCATGTTTCCGGCACCTACCCAACATGATCGGTTTAGGATTTTACAGGAACATGGCTTAAAAACGCAACCCTAAACCCTAAACTCCAAAAATTTGCTGGCGGCAATTCGCTTTACGGGGTTATTTTTTGATTAAGAAAGTCACTGCTGGTTGGTTGCGACGCACTGCTGGGTAGTGACCGATCCGAGGTTGGATTGGTCACTTCTGCTGGGTGTGGGGGTTGATGGGTTTGGAACCGATTTTGAAAGAATCAGCCACCTGCCTTGCGGTGGCTCCCAGTGACGAATCCTACCTTGGATCGGTCACCAAAACTAGACTTACAAAACAATGGCTCCAGTGACGGATTTACTTGTCAGCATGGTTGGCTGAAGTCAGGTTTAGTGGGTGACCAATCCTTCAAGTTTGCTTGGTGCAAGTGGGTGATATGTGACCAATCCCAGGTGTGATCAGTCACTTCTACAGGGTCAACGTTGAGGGGATCAGTTTGCAATCAAGAATTGCTGTTTTCAATGATGGATTTCACATCGTTTAACATTTGGGTCAGGCGCGTTGAGGTTGAGAAGTGACGGATCCTACCCTGGATCGGACACTTCCTTGTTTCGGGAGCAACAGTCTGGTTGCTGATGCCCGGAAGTGACGGATTATGATGTTGCAGGTAGGGTAAAGTGACGGATGTGGATGTTGCACATACGAGAAGTGACGGATTTTGGATGTTGTGGGCAGGGTAGAGTGACGGATCTGCAGGTTGCATGTAGGAGAAGTGACGGATTTTCGCTGTTGTAGGTAGAGTAAAGTGACCAATTTTTGGGGCGGAGACTTGACCAGTTTGTTTTCAAGGGTGCAAGCCACTTGGAGCAAAACGATGGACCTAGATGCTGGAGGAAAGTGATGGTTTAGCGCATTGCAAGCAGGCAGCAGGCGGGTGGAATGACAGGTGCAAGTGTTGAGGCCAGGACAAGGTTTTAATGTACTATGAAACCAAGGGACACGCCTGTCACACTTTGAACGGAGGGATTTGACAGCTCAAGCCGGCCACCTCAAGCGCCACCTTGGAGCATTCATGCCAGCCAAACGGAAATCTGGTGGAGGCACTTCGGCCAAGGACAAGGTGCCAAAGCTTGCGCCCGAGGTGTTGGAAGAACACCCCCATATCCCCAAACTTGTCGCGTGGTTACTTGTCGGTGATGGCTTTTGTTTGTGGACGTGTTTTGCAGCAACATCAGAGCTTCACGCTTCACGATGCCAGAGAGTGAATTGCGAGGCTGAATGAAGTGGTTTTCCCACAGGGCGGTCCGGACAAGTACCTCTCTGCGAAGTATGGTACACAGGCCGAACGTTTGCCCATGGCTTGCGGGCTGAACGTTTCCCTATATTTGTTTGACGAGTGATTGTGTTGATGAGACTTTTTTCCCACAAATAGTCAGGAAGAGATGATTGATTTTGCAACGTGGATCGACACGTTCACGCCAGGAAGCTCAAGGCCGATCAGCCATGAAGTGTTGGGTATCCGATTTGTGGTTCTAGATTTTGTCAATCTTTTTGTGGAGCCGGGTGATTTGCAATCAGTTGTGCAAGGATTGAGTACGCTACCAAGTGCGACGGTGCCCAGTTCCTACGACCGTGGATGTTGGGATGGCGATCGGACTTTGGCTGCTCAGGATTTTTGGAGCCTGACCAAGCTTCCATGATCCTTGAGTTGCTTCTGTCCGAAGGGACACTGAGCTGTGCAAAGTAACTAGATGTTTGTTGAACCATTTCGCGCGGCTTCGCATCAGTTGTCTCATGTGGCAAGGATGATGACCGACCCCAACATGGTCGGAGTGGAGAAGCTATCCACCACTGTCGCGCCCAAAGAATTCCTGGATTCTCCTTACCGTGAGTTGCCGGCAGCCATTGGAGGAACCGGCCATGCGCTGTCGCTTCACGTGGCAGGGTTCTCATTGTTTGTGATTTTGTTCATGCCTCCTGGCCAGGAGCACACCTCCTACCTCCATTTTCTGTTGGATATTGCAAGGGATGGAAACGCGCAACAATGTGCCTGATTGCTTTGCAGGGAATCCGTGAATTTAAGCTGGAGAGTGCCATCGTGCACCGAGTCAAGGTAGGAGTTTTCAATCGGCTCGCCAGAACCGTGCTTGCTGTGCCATGACGGTGTGTTAAGGACTTGTCCTGAACTTGTTTGTGCCAGCGAAGTCAGGCCAGCTTTGCCACAATCCATGCTTCCTTCATCAGCTTCAAGGACGTTCGGGCACAAGTCAACGCCAATCGAGGCTGCTGCAAGAGTGTGGCGCGGGGGAGTTTTCTGCCATGAAATGAAGTGTGGGGTCCCGACCAAAGTTCATTCTAAAGTGTAACACTCTTCTTTTAGGCCTTGCAGACATTTGGTCACTGACATCCTTTGAAGCAGCCAACTTTAGATGTTTCTGTTTGTGCTGTTTGTACTTACAGCTCCTTACCGGGCAAAATTCAATGGGGATGCGCTAGGCTTTTTTGCTGAGAGCTGTAATGAATACTCCCTTTCTTGAACCATGAGTTGTGGTCTTTGATTATTAGCTTGCCAATGGCACTGGCAGGCGCCAGCTTCGTGAGCACGCAGACGCGAGTGCGGCCAAACGCATTTCATTTCAGGCGGCAAGTGCTTATTCTCCAGCGAGCTGGCGCCGGGTCGGCTGAACGTCAGTTCAATGTAACTTCCCTTGCAGCGCAGCAATCCTTTGAACCGTGTTTGTCAGCCAGTTCTCAGACCGAAGCTCATCTTAGAACTGGACTGAGTCGTATCTCAGGATTGGGAGCAGTCCACCTCCATTGCCCGTGCATTTAGCATCGGCCGCACCGAAGCAGAGGCAGTGTCAGCCCTAATGACAAAGGTGCAGAAAGAGGTGGTTGAGAGGCTGTGCGCAGCTGTCAAGAGCCGCGGCATGGCCAAGCTCCTCACTCACGATTTGTTGTCCAAAGGGCTTTTGAACCTTGCTTGGACCAGTGGAATTGGACCAACAGAAGCATGGAAGGAGGAGCTTCGGAATAGAGATGATGGTGTGCTTGTTCCTTGAACTATTTTCATTGGCGCAGTCGCCGACGGGGTTCACGTCGGGAAGGGCTAAAAGAATGTAAGGGCTGGTAAAATGTTTGTTGGTTTATCTATTAGATATATAGTATTCTAATTTGTTTGTTAGTTCGGTTTATGGTTCCACTGGAAGTAGGACAGTCTCAGTGCATTTGGCATGTGGTTTACTCCTAAAAGCTGGCGACATGCCTGTTACTCCTTCAAACTCAGATGCCGGTTGTTGCGCAAGGTTAACCTGGTGGTGGATCGCATTGTGGGTGACCATGACAAGGCTTTGCCCACGATGAGGAAAGCAGTGAACTTCAAGGAGGGTCTTTTGCTTCACCAAGCCGCCGGGCTTTTCCTACACTTCCTTCGCGCTCTTCAGGGTGTGAGCCCTGCAGGGTCCTTCACGGACGCGCGTTCGAAGTTGGAAGACCAGTTCCGCCAAGGGTTTTTAGACCCAGATCTCCAACATGTTCTCCAAGTTTCCGTGCCGCCGGGCGACCCCAAATCAATCGCCGCTTTCAGGACTGAGGTTTGAATTATTGAAAGTTTTCAACTCTTTGTGTTTGTGTCGTGAGGGTTCACTCCAATTTCTCGTCGGGTTCCCTGTCCAGGCCTTTCTTTGCTCAGATTGAATGCACGCTCAGATCCGAGAAGGAAGCGAAGGAACAGCTGCTTCAGAAGCAACTCCGAGAGGCTGATCTCAACACAGTTGCCGCCCAGGTCCTCTCTGACTTTGCCGTGCTTGAGAAGATGGCTCCAGGTCCAACCCGTCAAGCAGAAGAACATGCTTTGGACATGAAATACTTGAGGGACAGACAAGCGCCGCTCAGAGTAGTACGTTCACGTGACCTTTTCATCCTTTCTTGTTTTAAAGGGTTGAGTCGCGAAAGGCCCAGATGAACACCGATTTGGGGCCCGCATTTCTTGCATCCTGGCCCCGTCCTTGGCCAACCCAAGAGGAAAATTGCCAGGGTTGAGGGAATCGAGTATGTAAATTGGGTTTGTCGAAGCCCATGCGCTCAGTCAGGAAGGGGCAGGAGTATGTGGAGGATTGGTTGTCGAAGAATGCGAGTTTGGTGCAAGTCGCGGAGTCCATGGACACGGCTGTGGGAGAGTTCCTGAAGTTCAAAGAGCAGTTCCGACATCTCGAGGGTGAGCAGACACTCGCCCTGTTTCGTTCCATGTTCTTCTTTTTCTGCGGACGATCTGATTAGCGGCGCCGAATGCCTGTTTCATTTTGTGCGCTGGCAGTCTCACCCAAATGAGGTACATCATTTGCACTGTAGATACCACCGTGTTCCCGGCTAACGCCAGTTACATTGCGGCTGCCTTGAAGAATTTTTGCACATTCCTGTCCATGGGATCTACCACCGTTGGCTTCGTTCTCTTCCCAGTGTACCAATCGCAGACATCAGAACAAGCCTTAGTGAAGCACAGACATCAACTTGAGCTGGCTTTGCTCAAGGGAGGCCTCTCAGTTATCAATTCGGTTCAAGTTCTGTACACCAAACCTGAAAGCGGCGCTTCGGACAAGCGCGCATTGGCGCAACCCGCAATGGCCACTTTCCATAGTCACTTCAGCGATCACGCGTTCCTGAAGAGCAAGCCTGTTCGCACCGGCACTCTGGGCCCTGTACCCCTCATCAAGTTCAGTGAGCTTTTGGGCTTTGACGACGTGTCCAAACCCGGCGCCTCTGCGAGAGTGGAGCAGATACTCAATTGGTTTTTAGTAGATGTTTGAAATGTGGATTCCCGTTTTTTTGAGACGCGCCAGCCTCCAGCGCAAAGATTTTGTTTGGATTTGGTTGTAGTGACTCCTGTGCCAGGAAGGGAGTGCCTTGCCATGAGGAGATGATCCAAAGCTTGTTGGATGGAGTCCCCATTGATGACAAGGACACTGTCATCCTGCTAGATGTGGTTCCGAACAGGCTTGGGGTGTTATTGAAAAAGAATCAAAGCATTCGCTTGTTACACTCAGGGTTTATCTCAATGTTTTGTTTCAATTTGGGAGGGTGGGGCCGACAAATTTCCTTTCGCCGGAGTGAAGGGAAATGTGTGACGCGGGTTTGCTGAGTCTGGCGGTGTCATTTACAAAATGCAGGTTCAGCGAATTTGGGCGCGCTGCTGTCAACATGAACTTGCGCGGCGACGGGCCAACCGTTCACTATTTTGGTTTGATTCAGCAGGAGTACAAGACCAACTTGACCGCTGTCAAATCCATGGTGTACAAGAAGTGGGATGAGGACACCAATTTGAGCCCACCAAAAACACGACCCCTGCGGGAGAGCTCAGCCGCCGCAGCAGCAGTGCCAAGTCTGGACATTTTGGCTTGGGCCAACGACCGGCCTGTTTTCCCTGCTGTGCTCTTGACCAAGTTTCCAGAGGGCACAGCAGAGCACGCGAGAATGTTGGAACTGAAGAAAGATTTTGATGAGAAGTACCCCGAGGCTTCCCAGCCACCACCAGCGGTGGGCTCCGGAAGAGCTGGTGGGGTCTGCGATTACAGTGTCGACGGAGGCCGACATCCACTAGACTGCACCCGTGTGATCGATCTCCCGCTCGTCGGAGCTGACAGTTCTGGAGAGACCAGGCTCAGGGGAGTCGCGTTTGTTTCAATTCACTAGCAATCATTTTCCTGAAGTTATTTTTCCTGGCAAGAGTAAGGAAACGGGTTTTGTAATTGTAATTTGTACAACTCTTTTTGCACGCGTCATAAAGCAGTCTGTTGAGTGCAATGCTTCGCAGGAAATCTGAGTGTGCTCTCACAGGCAAGAAACCGGCGATCGTCATATGCGACAGCTTCGCAGTTTGGTTGGGGAACACCACTGACGCTGATATGACGCTGGAAGCTGGCGAACTTTTTGGCTTTGGCCGAGGAACGTATGAGCACAAAGTAGTAGGTAACCCACTCAGTTGTCACACGCCAACAATGCTTCCAGACAGGAGTGCACCGGTTTTAAAGCTCAATAGGAGGGTGTTGCAGCCAGACATTGATCCTGGCCTCAGGTGACGCCAAGAGCGAAACCCATGGAATCCCATGGCGCTTGACGAGCGACTTCGACCTTGTCAGCTACAAGAAGGTCATCATGCCACTTTGCCAGCTTCTTCGAAAGTTGGCGATTGACCAGGGCCTGAGTGAAATTGAAGTTTGCGACCACGTGCTGAAACCACGACTGGTTGCTTGCCAGTCAATGTTTTGTTTCGATGTTGGCTAGTGTGATCATGTTGCGTACGTTTTACTGCAGACCAACGCACGCGCTTGGTCAATGTCGCGCTGCGACTAAATCACGAGACTTCGAACATATTTCAGGGATTGTCAGCGTAGATCCAAATTCGAAAGCATCAAACACTGCGTATATCACAAACAAATCAATAAGGCAAACGCAAAATTACTTTCAACCGCCCACGCCGGGTACGCCCTGCACATGTCAACATAGTATCTGCAAACGTGAATTAAACTAGGCCGCGCGGACATAGTGTTTGTTATTTGCAATCAAATCTGAAGGTCAATAAACATAGCATAGAATAGACTGTGCGCCAAGTAAGACTCCTGACCTGTGTGCCCAGCCAGCGGGTTTTGTTTCAGTTTGTCCACTCCGTCCCTTTTCGGTTTGCGCCCTCAAATAGAACAAATAGGAGCTGAAATGACAGGCAATTCTGGAGGTATGTTCTCAGGAAAAATTTTTAAGGTGTTCGTATGTTGTCAGTATTGACAAGCGCCACAATTTAAGGTGGGTTTTGATAATAATCTGGTTCTGGGGGTGATGTTCATGGTGACCACAAGTTCGGCCATGGGAGGGGTAAAGAGCAGGTGCCGCGTAGCAGCTCCAGTAAGACATTGATCGCGATGACGATGTTTCTCGCGCGTTGGCTGTGGGGTTTGCAGGTTGTAAGAAACCCGATTTGCAACATTTTTGAAACTAGACAGCTCCTGGCTGCCAGGCTGAGGATGGTGTCTTGCCAATTTGTTTCCGCTATGTGATCGCACCGGTGGAGTCGAAGGCGACCAACGTGTTCAAGCCTCAGCCAGCCGGTGATGGTGGAAGCGACCCTGTCCGCCATCAAACGTTGGGTAGTAGCCTCGCCGGTAACTTTGACAAGCTGATCGGCAACAAGCGAGCAAGCCTGGTGTGGGAGGTTACTAAGCTATGCGTTTTGTGACAGAAGAAATTTGACAGCAGTCTTTTTACCTGGAGGGGTTGAGTCAAAGACATGTTCAACACGCTTAATCCCAAACAACTGGGGAGATGATGCTACGACTTCTACGACTATCCAAGTTAGTTTCTCGATGGTTCTCCAATGCCCTGGCGGCTGCAGGTGGACATTGAAACGTCGCCGGGGCGACTGGTAGCCACGAAGCCCAAGATTTATTTAACGTGCGGCTTTCGCCTGCCGTCCAAAAGCTGGGTGAACCTGTCAGCCTAATGACCGCTCAGCGTTTTGAGCGCCGCAAGAGGCTGACCTCCGGTGCTGTTTTGTGTTGATCATTGGTGTGTTCAGTTTACAGTATTCATCCTATTGTTGTTTGGTTAAAACAACGGTGGCCTTGATGAGCGGCTCAAAGAACTTGGTAGCTGGCCTTTTTGACTCTAAAGCTGGCAGTTCACGGATATTTTGGAACCTAATCTGTCTGCAGGCAAAAGCTGTTACATGGTGTGGCTCACACTGAATGCTGCGCACTCATGTCCCATGTTCTGGGTTGTTAAGGTGTTCTTGAATGCGCCGGCTATTTGCAATGCTTTTAATGTCATCTCCACCCCTTAAGGGCAAACGCGGTTCAAGCTAACTCTGGCCTGAGCTGGTCCAGTTGGGTGACGATGGTTATCTTCGGCAATGTTACCACTCTGAGCGGATCGGAGGAAGAGGCGAACGGTTTGTAGTTTACGTCGTTTTTTGGGTGAGGGGTTGCCAAACGCACAAGATGGGTTGGTGACACATCTTTGCAGGCCCAAGGAGCTCCTTCGGCGCCTGTATTCAAAAGGCCTGCGGCCAAGAATCAGTCCGATTCTTCAGCCCCCACACCTAAACCGAAGGTGTTGCCGAGAAAGAAAGATAAAACAGATAAACCACAGGCTAAGGTTAAGCCTGCTGTTCAGAAGTTGAAATCAACCGCAAACTTGGGAGAGGAAAGCCAGGTTGTTGAAGGTGAGCGCCAGGACAACGAACAGGTCGACGAAGTAGAGGAGGAGGAAGTAGAGGAGGAGGAAGTAGATGAGACCGTGGAAGGGGTCCCAACTCAAGAGGGAGCAGAAGCAGAAAAGGTCATGAAACGACCTTCTGCCTTGAAGCGCCCTGCAGCGTCGGATGGAGGCGCCCTCCAGAATTGGGACACTGAACGTAGTCGTAGTTTACACTGTGTGACTGTAATGCTACAAGTTGTTGCAAGTTTACGATTTTTGTAAGCCCAACTCTTGATCAGACTGAAAGGCAAGAAAGCCAAGACTGAGAACCGCGCGGCCTTTTGCAACCCCTGTTATCACAAGAACAATTGCCATTGGACGATCAAAGCTTCTGGTTCGAATGGAAAGCAAGTGCTCTCCGTTTCTTGGGCTTAAACATGTTATTGTTTCGCTAGGCTTCCGTCCTGGCTCCTCCTGTATGTATCAACCCCGATAAGATCAAGCGAGCAAATTCAACCGTGAACCTTAGGTTGGAGGAAAGTGTGTTAAGTTATTGTTTCGCGTTTTTCTGTTCTGACTCCATCTGTATTTATCAACCCTGATAAGATCAAGTGAGCTGATATAGCCGTGAAACTTAGGTTGGAGGAAAGCAGTTTACGTATGAACAGAGCAAGTCGGTCGCGGACGTCGCCCACGACCACTTGTGCAAGGGAGATCCGATCAGCAAAGTCAAAGAGATTGTGGCTACTTAGATTTGTCATTAGATGTCATTAGATTGTTTGTTGCAACCAACGGTCTGCGTTGCATAGTAAAGCGCAAAAAGAGATGCAGTGTTGAGGCTGCCATGCTCCGTGCGCTTCTACCCCCGGAGTCTGCGAACGAGGCTGAGATTGAGAAGGAGAAGAACGCTGAGAAAAGCGAGTCAGGTGGAAAGAGCAAAGCCGCCGGCCCCACTGGAAAGAAGCGGAAAGCTGACGGTGCTGTTGAGATTCCTGTGGCTGCCTCCAGGGCCGCTGAGGAAGGGGAAGGTGAAGAAGAAGATGCGGAGGGTTTCACGGATGACCCGACCATTCCCAATGTGGACTAGACTTGATTTTTTTCAGGTGAGTTTTTGGTGCGCCAGACACTGTCAGAGACGGTTGACGACAAGCTTGGCAGGAGTGTTGAAAACAGTGTGTGTGACCGAGTGTAACCGAGAAGTATTGAATGAAAGATCATTGCTTCTTGCTGTTGCGATGAAGCTCTTCTGAAGTGTTTTCTCGCACTGTGTCGGCTGTTGCCAAAAAGTTTTTCGATGTATGATCGATCGATGTGCTTCTGAAACATGTGAACCATAGGCCCTAGGCTAAACTTTTGGGACCCAAATTTGGGGGGTAGGCAAACAAACAAAGTTCTATTTTTGGCTCGAGTCTTGGGGCTGGCAAAACCAGCCCCCCTTCAGGGTGCACTGTCAATTCTTTAAAGCTATAAATATGTTCTTCATAGCGCTGGGCAGTCGTTCTTTCTACGCTTTGGAATTTCGTCCTGGTCCTCCTAACTAGCCCTGCACACATGTGACCATGGCGACTAAATCGAAAGATGCCAATTAATCAATTGAAGGTTGGCATCAAAAAGGTTGAACACGCTTACAGTAGATGTTTGAGCAAGTGTTGCTGACGGAACTTTGTGTTATGAAGTGTTTCGGAGGGCTTTGGAGAGCATAGCTCATGGAATGTACAACGATAATGGTTGGCAGCTTGGATTGGGAAGAGTAGGCTAGCTAGTTAAAGGCTCAGCAATGCCGCGGGAGCTGGTCCAAAGGAACCAAGCTGAACATTGCTCATCATAGCAATGACTGGGTCATCCAATCCCTGAACCCCCATTAGTTCCAGACCCCCATTGGCGCGAAATTTCCTTTGGGTTAGAATTAGAATTGTGGAGGTACGTGACTTTGGCGTCCCAAAGTCATATCGCATCCGATCAGCTGTTTCTTTGTTAGGCAGCGACTGCTGAAAGGATCACTGCCCCCCCTGCTGTGCTGTACAGAACGGAATGCAAGAATGAATTAAGTTCTCACTTAGACTTGGTGTTAGTTATGTGGTCGCGCTCCTCAGAACCAACCAACACACCAACCAAAGGAAGGAGAGTAACAAAGAAAGGGTGGGTAGCCCACCAGAAACAAACAAACCAAGCAACCAAGCATTTTCCCCAAATGCTGTCGATACTTGCTTTGCATTGGTAGCCCACCAAGCAACCAACAAACCAACCAAAACCACACAACCCTGTGTTCTACCCAAAGGCTGTCGATAATTGGTTTGCATTACAACAAGCTAGCCAACCAACCAACACACCAAGCAAAGGAGGGTGAAAAAGATCGGGTCAAAAAAGAAAGAGTAGAGGGTGAACAAAAGATGGAACCCACGAACCCGAATGCAAACACGTTCCATATGCCCAAATGACACTCTTGCAGGACACTCTTGCGGGACACTCTTCTGGGACACTCTTATGGGACACTCTTGTGGGACACTCTTGTAGGAAACTCTTGTGGGTCACTCTTGTAGGGCACTCTTGTGGAGCACTCTTACGGGGCACTTTTGTAGGACACTCTTGTGGGACACTCTTAAGTCACCCTTACACGACACTCTTGGGAGACACTCTTACGGGACACTCTTGTAGGACCCTCTTGTGGGACACTCTTATAGGACACTCTTGTGGGTCACTCTTATGGGACACTCTTGTCGGACACTCTTGTGGGACACTCTTGTGAGACACTCTTGTAGGACACTCTTGTGGGTCACTTGCCGGACACTCTTGTGGGACACTCTTGTAGGACACAAGACACACTTGTGGGACACTTGTGGGACACTCTTGTAGGACACTCTTGTGGGACACTCTTGTAGGACACTCTTGTGGGACACTCTTATGGGACACTCTTGTGGGACACTCTTGTAGGAAACTCTTGTGGGATACTCCTGTAGGACACTCTTGCGGGACACTCTTGTGGGACACTCTTGTAGGGCACTCTAGTGGGACACTCTTGTAGGACACTCTTGTGGGACACTCTTACGGGACACTCTAAAGGGACACTCTTGTGAGACACTCTTGTGGGACACTCTTGTGGGACACTCATACGGGACACTATTGTGGGACACTCTATCTGGGACAGTCTTGTAGGACACACGCTTCGAGGCTGCAAGACGAGCGTTTCGTACGAGACTGCCTCCAAAAGTCACACGTCAAGTCTCCAAAACGAGCGTTTCGTACGAGACTTCCTCCAAATATCACACGTCAAGTCTCCAAAACGAGCGTTTCGTCCGAGACTTCCTCCAAAACGAGCGTTTCGTACGAGACTTCCTCCAAAAGTCAAGCGGAAACACCCATCGGAGCACACACATCACGCAGCCCTGCCAAGCAGATTCGCGATTCCAGCCCCTCCAAACAACACCCGCTCACACGCCAATCCCAATGTATACCACAACTCACAACCTCACGATTCCCTGCGCCTGCCACGAATCTTTCCACGTCCACACGTCTAACGCACACAAAGCACTGCGCTTGCCACGAAATGTCACCTCCGTCACACCTCGCAACCTCACGATTCCCTGCGCCTGCCACGAGAATCGCACTTCCACGCCTCAAAGCCCGCGCAAAGTACTGCGCCTGCCACGAAAAGTGAGAATATATTTTCATGTGAGCTTCAACAAAATTTGCACCACACCACACGTTTGGAATGACGCGTTCTGAGCACACTCCCATCCACCAAAATCCTCATTTCAGCTGAGACTTGTCACAAAAACAGAGCTTCGATGCCACACCCTGAAACGCAAATCCTAATGGCACGGCCACATCCAACACCCCAAAAACACGCCTCTCCTAACACTATAATCCCAATGGAACTGCGCAGCACACTGCGGATCTCACAAACCACTGCGCCTGTGCAGCGAAATGCATCACGTTTCTTGCGCGCCATGTCATTTTCAAGCAAATCACAATGTAATAGCGGCGCAAACTGACACGTGACACATCCATGAAAAGTCACTTGCAAAAGCTTCCCCCAATGGCAGCGCCTTAGCGCTCTACTGACGACGGTCGCGGACGGTTGCGAACGGTTGCGGACGGTTGCGAACATAGAAACAACGGGTCGCTAACAAGGCCCTACCCCCAGGTTAAACGAGAACCCTTCGCTACGCATTTGGGAAAAAGGTTTGGGGGTGAAAAAAGAAGGTTCAGAGGGTGAAAAAGAAAGGTGGAGGGTGGAAAAAAAGGGCGGGGTGAAGAAAGCAGGGTTCAAGGGTGAAGAAAAAAGGTTGCCCTTCAGAATTCAAG